AGGCCCGGCACGCGCCAGCCATGAAGCGTCTGGACGTCACTCCGGCACAATGGGCCCCGCGTGGACGGAAAAATTGATTGAAGGTGCTGCGGTAGAAATTCAATCATCCGAAGCCCAATTACATGAATCTTCAATTATCTGCATCGGCTTTATAAAAAAGGAGGAAGTCAAAATGGGAAAATATATAAGGAATATATTAATTAAATTTGTCTCTGGTTGGATTTCTTTACGGCTGCGGAAAATATTCTCCGAGCGTAATTACGTCCAAAAAGGTGACGGAAATGGTTACAATAATATATATTTAAATATATTAATCTTTGAATGCTGCTGTTGTACTCTTGTTAAACCATCTAAGACAAAAAATTACACGTGAAATTACCTTTAGATTTTATACGCTATGGCCGCACAGTTATGAACGAAAGGCAGTAAAACGTGCGTTTTTACAGAAAACCGTTGCATCTAAGCACCAGAAATGGACTTCTTATGAAGAGTGACAAGCCACTGAACAAGATTGGACCAACCGAGAAATTAAGTATGTGAAAGCCTTAATGTAAATGTCAAAATATCTCATATTAAAGTAATTGAGCCGAGATTAAGAAATGATGCACGAAGAAAGACTTCCAAAAGCAAGAACTTCGTCCCAAACCATTAGGGATACGATGTAAAGAAAGATCCACGAAGGGGTATGGATAGACCCAATTGGTGAATGGATAGATGAATTCTGATACCGAACGGGCAGTTCTGCCTAGTACCTACAAGAAAGAAAAAGAAGGATAAAAATGAAAGGGAAACCTTGAATTAATCGATCATATATGCACATTTGACCTATCTTGTTTATTTCATTTCGTAGATATTTATTTTATATTTTTTCGTAATTTATTTCACCTGAATCCGAAAATAGTGCACTTTTGTGGCATTCTTGCCCACTGTACGGCAGGCTGCGTCTTTCATCGTCGTCTAGCGACGCGTATTACGTCACGCGCCTCGTCCCTCGCCCTGAACGCACCCCGCACGTCAGCCCAGTGCTTTCGTCAATCTGCATGAACTCGTAGCTACCTCTTCTAGGATTGGTCGTCAATCTGCATGAACTCGTAGCTACCTCTTCTAGGATTGGATGGCTTGAATGAATCATATATGAACAGCCGATGTTAGGACGGACGTGGTACATTATATCCGTTGATACTTTACCTGCTCATTGAGAACTAATTGTAGAGTGAATTAC